TCTAACCAAAGGTAGTAGCTTTAAATAAAAAATGCTAGCCAATGTAAGTCGACACTGGATGGTAATGTGTAAAACTTGTGTGTATTATTAACAATAATTGATAATTACAAATGTTTCACGTTATCATGATAATGATAAAACGATTTATTCTTCCTCTCGATCTCCATTATAACTTTTTTTAATTTTATATAAAATTAGTCAAAAACTAAGGGTAAATTGAGCTAGTCGCAAAGGACCGTTTTACAATAAAATTGTTTTCAAAGTAAAAAAGTTGACGTAAGCTGAGTAAGCACTACAATAAATACTACAACAGTTTGCTAATTATATTTCCACAAGTTCGCGTGGAAGGGTGAATCAATTAATTCCTATTAAACCCATAGGTTTGATTCGTTTCAGTCGTCTCAGCATCCCCTCCTTGTGTTGTTTAACTTAATTAAAATATAACTTAAATTAAAAATATTTTAATTCAAATTATATACATCTTTTAATTAAAAAATGTTATTAAATAAAAAAATTTTTTACTTAAAGCAACAAATAATTCTTTTAGTGTAAAAAATAATTTTTGTAGATTTAAGAAATGATTTAGTTAATTTTTGATTATTTTTGAAAGAAAGAAATTTTTATTTAAACATATTTTTTACATTTAAATAAATTAATTTTCTTCATTCAAAAAAAATAAAAATTATTTTTATTTACGTTATATTTCAAATCAACAAAATCTTTTTGAAAATTAAAAAATTCATAATTAAGAAAAATTATTTTCTTTAAAAAAATATTTTATTAAATGTATATAATTGTTTTTCTTCAATCCAACAAATATTTCTTTTACTTTAGAAAAATAATTCAAAGAATATATTTTTTTAAGTTAAACAAAAATTTTTTTCCCTACGTTATTATAATTCTTCTTATACTTATTTATAATGCAATCTAAATTCGTAGAATTTCTTTACAAATTGTAATGTTTTTCTTTTTTTAAACTACTACAAAATCTCATTAAATTATTGTTTGCAAATTATTATATCTTGAAATTATAATTTCATTTCAGATTCATACATTAGTCTATAACACAAAAATTCTAAATTTTATAAAAATAAGTACAATAGTCAACAATCGTCATAATGTGTTTAATTTTAACCAAATCTGTAAAGTTGAGTCAAAGTTATAAACATTGTTATCTGTGCAAATGTATTTTAATCCAGAAATATAATTTATTCTAAATAGATTAAATGATGGCAGTAAAATAGATTAAATGATGGCAAAGTTGTCTTGACGGAAATTGAAGGAGAGAATTTTTAAAGAACAAACTTGAGAACTAATATATGTTTTGTAAGGAGTGAGGAATTTCAGAAGTAGGAGAGAAGATAGTATTAAATGGGAAAGCTTTCCTCTAAAATGGAAACATTTGATAATTTTTCTGTGTTATTCTGATTATTAATGCCGAACTTTTATTTTTTTATGTAAATTATCTTTGAAATCATTCATTTGTAATATACGATGAACTAATACAAGTTAATAATGAATGATGGAGTAATATGAAATATTATATTTAAGTTTTAAATTTCTCAGAGATGTTCTTAATATACCAGATTGTGAAACATTTAGTGAGGAGATTAATATTTAGATCCACATTATAAACTGTATTATTATTACTTTTTTATAATAATTGATTCGATTGTTAATGGTTAAAAATATTAAAAAGAATTTTTTTTAATTGTACATTTTATTGTACGTTCATTTTATAATAAAAACGAACGTGATTTATAAATCAAAACTTATGAAAAGAAGAGCATGCACCTTTGAAATTAAAGAAAATTACAATCAAAGATATTGCGGCCTATGAACGACAAACAATTTATAATATTAATATTTACAAATTTACAACAAATTTTGCAATAACGAATATCAACGAACAATGGCTAATAAATCTCAGTGATACTGAGATTCCAGAGAAAGCCAAAGTCGTATTGCAATTTGGTCAGCAATTTAATTTACCTAATAACGTCATCAGCAAAGAAAAAAGTGTGCTCGAGTTCATTAAACATGTTGAGTATAACCTTTTCAGAGCTGATGACGAAATTTGTAAATCGGTTAGGAATGAAATTATTCAAATACTTAAATCAATAAATAATTGTGACATTAAATCGTCTGAGAATAACATCATACGAGAAGGTGTAAGGGAAGTAAAGCGATTCATCTCAGAGAATCCTGACATTTTAATTACCAAAGCTGATAAAGATAATACAACAGTTATTATGAATAATGAAAGTTACATAGGGAAAATGTATGAGATTCTCAACGATCAGAGTACATACAGTTTAATAAATAAAGATCCCACTAATAAAATTACAATGGAAATTAGTAACTTACTAAAAAATTGGAAAAATTGGAAAAGGATACATTGACCTAAACATATACAAAAAATTATATGTATCGGACGGCGAACTTCCGCGTTCTTATGGACTGCCAAAAATTCACAAGGAAGATCCGCTAAGATTGATAGTTAGCTGCATTAACAATGCTTTTTATCCATTGGTGACCTTCTTAAAAGATATTATAGATAATAATAGTAATAAGAATTTCAGTTACGTAAAAAACAGTTTTGATATTGTAAATTAAAATTACAATGGAAATTAGTAACTTACTAAAAAATTGGAAAAATTGGAAAAGGATACATTGACCTAAACATATACAAAAAATTATATGTATCGGACGGCGAACTTCCGCGTTCTTATGGACTGCCAAAAATTCATAAGGAAGGGGCGCTAAAATTGGTAGTTAGCTGCATAAACAGTGCTTTTTATCCATTGGTGATCTTCTTAAAAGATATTATAGATAATAATAATAGAATTTCAGTTACGTAAAAAACAGTTTTGATATTGTAAATAAACTCAATGGAAAGGTAATCGATAAAAACTTCAGTATTATATCATTTGACGTGGTCTCAATCTCGCACGAACATTCCGACCGATTTAGTAGTAAAGAGCATAGAACATAGGTGAAACTTGATGAAAACAAGACTTCGATTCCTTTACATGAGTTTATCAAAGCAATTATAATTATAATTAACTCTACATTTTTTAAATTCGACAAAAAAATATTTAGACAGATTTTTCGCATGCTAATGGGCTTTCCATTGTCCCCTATATTAGCGAATATTGTTCTACAAAACTTAGAACAAGAAATTATTATTACTAATAATGTTATCTTGTCTTTTTATTCCCGTTATGTTGACGACATTGTATTAGCGGTGCATAAAGACAAAGTGGAGAATGTTCTGGAATTGTTTAATTCATATCATGAAAGGCTAAGATTCACAGTTGACTTTGACGATGAATATGGCATTAATTTTTTAGACGTTAAACTAATGAGAAAAGAAGGAAGAATCATCTTCGATATTTACAAAAAACCTACTAATTCAGGGAGATATTTAAATTATTTTTCGAATCATCCGTTAGTACACAAAAAGGGGTGTAATCATCAGGCAATTAAATAGAATATTGCTTTTATCCTATCCAAAATTTAAGAAAAAAAATATCTCTGACTTAATTCACACTTTGTTAATGAATGGTTATCCTCTTAAATTCATCTTTTCAACAATAAAAAATAGAATTAAAACTTTAAAATAGATCTAATTTAGATAAAAATAGTGAGCACAATAATAACAAAAGCGACTCTATTTCTAATTTAAAGAAAAAATTTTTCACAATACCATATTTAAGTAAAGTATCGGAAAAATTCAAAAAACTATCACATATTCAAGGCTTTAATATCTTACAAACCTATAAACAAAATGAATAGATTTATAAAAACTGGAAAAGATTCTTTGCGTAAAGAGGATCATTGTGGAGTGGTTTATAAAATTAATTGTTTAAATTGTGAGTTTTCTTATGTTGGCCAAACAAAAAGGAAATTAAAAATTCGAATAAAAAAACATAGAGCTGATATAAGAAGATCCACTTCGGAGATGTCAATGATTTCGCATCACCAGTTGAATGAGATGCATGAATTGGATTGAGATAACATCAGAATTTTAGAACAATCATTATGAAAAGAAGAATTTCTGAAATGATGTACATTAAAAGCCAAATAAGTGGTATCAATAAGCAAAGTGACACTGAAGGTTGGCCCAATGTTTATCTACCTTTTCTTAAGAAATCATCTCTCTCACACTTAATAAATAATTCTAGAACAATCTAAACTTTTGACACATATATATAAATAGTGGTAACATATATGATATGACAAATAATAACACACAATATCACGACGAATTTCCATCTGTGTAAAGGATGTACTTGAGATTCATCATTTTTTTGCTATAAAACAGGTAACGATTCTATTCTCATATATTTCGACTAGATATTAATGATAGGTTAATTTGTTAAATTAGAATTTGGAAATTCTTCTACATATTTCGTAATATGACAATTGGCGCTGTAACATTTTTGTATGAAGCACCTTCACATGATGAAAGAACATGTTTTATACGTAGTTATATTACATGAATTTAATATTAAAGTTGAATTTAATGTTAGCTAAATGTAATTCTGCGTTTTAAGAATATTGTGAATTTATTGAGGATGGCCAGATTGTAGCCGAAACGTCTAATGTTTTATTAATGTAATGACAATTAAATATCACAAACAATATCTTGTGCAGTGGTTTTTATGCTCTTCTTTTCATAAGCGTTCATTTTATATTCCCTTTTTTTCTTTCATAAATTTCCGAAATTATACGAAATCATCAGTACTTTTTTCTACACATTAGCGACGTTGTGAGAGAATAGACTACGTTTAGATAAATAATATATATTAAACAAAGAAATAATATTATGTCAGCCACATTACGAAGATATTGCTGTATTGGTCAGAACAGTCGCGTTAATAATCAATGACATTCATCAGTTTGTGCTCATGTTTCCTTAAAATAATGCTATAGAACGTGCGCGCGTGATGTCCGGAGTTTATCTACCTAGCATCGAATTTATGCTAACGTTTCAGAACAAGAATATCGAATGGCTGGTAAGAAAGGCGGAGAACAGGGAGAATGCAAGGTTCAAAATCGATCGAGAGCTCAAGCAGTCTGCACAGATTCTAAAACCTGTTTCTCTGGTGTACTGTTTACACTTATAAGAAGTCTCGTATAAAAACAAAAGTCTGTAATTTGACGATAAAACATCAATACGAAGTATATATACGTATAAAATTTATAATGTACGCACGAGTGAAACTATGTGAAAAAAAAGGAATGATAAAGAAATTATGTGCTCGAGTGTGCTCGAATAATCCGTATCAGATTGACAGTGCTAAACCCAAGCCTTTCGAAAACATTCCAGGGCCAAGATCCTTACCCGTTATTGGAACGCTGTACAAATATGTGCCTTTCATCGGTAAGAATAATATATAGTATTTCGATAATTAACTAAAAACATTTATTATTACTGCAAATTTAATATTTTTGTTTTTTAATTCACTTTCTGTATTTTCCTTTTTACCATTAAGTTATAGAAATGGATTCTGATTCTACGTACTACTTTGCTGCTATATTTTTGTGTATTTCTAAATACAATATTTAATATAGTCACTTATCTCTTAAATACCGATATAGAGTAATCTTATCAAATATATATTAACGGTATAGGTGAATACAATTTCACAAAGCTGCATGCGAATGGCTTATTGAAATTAAAACGATATGGACCCCTGGTGCGTGAGGAAATAGTACCAGGTCAGCCAATCGTATGGGTATTCCGACCAGAAGATATCGCAGAAATTTTCAAAGCTGAAACGGGTCTGCATCCTAAGAGAAGATCGCATTTGGCTCTTCTCAAGTATCGAAAGGACAGAACTAATGTCTACAACAGTGGGGGTCTTTTACCCACGTAAGAATAGTTCTCATAAAATTTTGATACATCATACTATGATATATTACGATATTTGTAAAAATCGGTAAAAATATTTCACATACATCGATACATCATACTACGATATATATTACGATATTTGTAAAAATCAGTAAAAACATTTCATATCCCAGTAACAATAGAATTTAAAAAACGCACTAGGAATTTAATATTTTATTCATTGTTTAGAAATGGCACCGAGTGGTGGAGGCTACGTCGCGAATTTCAGAAGGTCCTTAGCAAACCACGCAATGTTGTCGATTATCTGGAGGATACTGACGCAGTTGTTCAAGAGTTCGTGCGGATCTGCTCCCGCGAAAAAACAAACGATTTCTTACCTTTATTCTCACATCTTTTTCTCGAACGTAATATTCTTTCATCTGGATAAATTATTCTATTCATTAGCATTAATAATTTTAGCAAAAAATATTCGTAATATTAATAAAAGAAGTGTTTTATACATATAAATGTCATCGATATAAATTTTCAGTGATTTGCCTCGTGGCTTTTGATGTAAAAATGGGAAGTTTATCGGAAGAAGAAAAACATCCATATTCTAGAAGTTCAAGGCTGGTCGAAGCAGCTCTTACGACAAACAGTGCAATATTAAAATTAGATAACGGCCCAATGTTTTGGCGATTTTTTGAAACACCATTATATCGAAAATTACGTAAGGCGCAGAATTATATGGAGGAGTGAGTACACAATTATGATCAAGAAATAACCGTATACATATATACAAACAATAAAATATAAGGAAAGGCTTATAAAAACAAGCAATATAGCAATATGTATATTTGACAGTATCTTTAATTTTACAATATAAGAGATGGAACGTTTCGACTTACTCAGTCATCTTCAGCCTCAGTCATCATAAAGATTTAATTCATATAAACACTTACTATATAAAGAATTTAAAAAAATTATATGATACTAAATCATACAAGGCGCATCGCAATTTTACAAACAATAATTTTCTATAATATGATTGGAAATAAGATCGTTTTATGTGAGTACATTATCTAAATACGAGAATCATCACTTGACGGTCAAAATTAGATGTTGAATTAATCATATATGTACGTATTCTTTTTAAATGAATTTATTTCATAATAGACAAAGATGTATGTTTATATGATCTTTTTTTAATTTTTCAATAATATAAAAATATATGATTTATATTCAACAGTTCCGTACCTTTTCTTAGATTAAGACCGTTTTCTTTAATGTATAAAACTTCCGAGATTAATCTTTTGTAATATTTCGATCCATGATTTTAACGTAATTCCATTCAAATTTATGATTAAACTCCATTTGCTCAGAGATGATCGAGTATTTGAATAATTCTATTCTAATGTTTCTGATATATTTTGTTTAATCTTCATTTTAATTTTGTCTTTGTTCCATAAACAGCGGTCACAGTAATACACTTTATATATAACATTATTGTCGATAAAATAGCTCTGTCTTTTGTGCCTTTATAACATATTTAATTTATTAAGATATTTACCCACGATATTTTTCTTTGTTTATCATAACTACAGGATAGTTTTATATTTGTTAGTCTTAACATTATTGTTTAAGTTCTTGTGCATTGTAATGTCCTTGTTCGTTATAGAATTAAAAAGCCTTTTAAGTCTAATATTAATTTTATAATGCGTTTATATGGATTGAATCTTTATAATGGCTGAAGATGGCTGAAGCCGAAACGTCCCATCTTTATATTATAAAATTAAAAATATTATCAAATATACACCTATTTTGCTCGTTTATAAGCTTTTTCTTATATTATATTTTATTATACACAATTATGAATTTTTTATTAATATAGATATAAAATGTTAATTGTCATGCCCTCGAATCATTGGATAAAATATTCGATCATTTCATAAATAATGCAAAATTTAAAGTTTGCAGTAACATTATTTTTTGCATTAACATTAATAGTTTAAGCAAGTCATTGATTATATATGGATATAATATAATAGAATCAGTAGAACTTTTAAAATTATTAAAATCTACTAATGACATATATTAAGACAGAATTTTCTGCAGTTTAAAAACACAATATAATTAATTATTAAACAAGAAGGAAATGTACATTATTAAACATTTAATTTAAATAATAATAAGGTTTTTAAGAACAAAAATAAAAATATCAACGGAACATGGGCTAGAAATTTAAGCTAGATGTTTTTGCTCAAATGAATAATTTAATATTTAAAAGATTTGAATAAGCAGATCGACACAAAATCGCTTTCGGAGATATTTTTCGATTTTTGATCTCTTTCTTACTTAGTTACTTCTTCTCTCCTTCTCAGTTCTGTTACTTCTTCTGCCCTTCCTAGTTCTGTTAGTTCAGTTCTTTACTTTTAGGCTCTAGACACAAAGCAAGGCAACAGCGATAGGAATAGTACAGAAATAATTCCGATAAAATCATATAGAAATAACTCGTTGGAAATTTATCGCTATTGTTTTATTCTGTATGCATTGACATATGCATTCTCAAATGTTGAATTTCTCCGAGATTTTTTTCTGCTATCACTATCGCTCTCGGGGTTATCGCCTCTCATTGTGTTCAAGGCTTTACTCGATTTTGAAAAATCAATGTTCTGGAATCGCATACATTCGTTTCGTATTGAAAAAAAAAATTAATCATAAGATTAATATTCGTATTCGATTTAAAAACACTTTATCGTGTTTGAAGCATACAATTTATAAATTATATTAAAAGAGCTTGAAGTTTTTGACATCAGAATTATTATGTATTACTAATATTATTCTTTTATTATAGTTACTTATAAGATTTATATATTTCAACTTTTCTTTTTGTGCCATTTTTATACAAAAAAATCTTTGTATTATTTATGGAAGGATCATGATAATAATATAAATTTCTATTGAAATTTTATTCATAATTTACTCAATTCTAATTTATAATTTTTGGGGATACACACAGAATAGCGTTGCAAATGGTTACTCAGAGAAATCAAGATGCATCAATATGTCGAAAACAGTCTCTTCTCAAAGAATATTTCAAAAATGAGACTTTAGACATCAAAGATATCGTGGGAATGGCATGTGATACGTTGCTCGCTGGCATAGATACTGTAAGTTTTCAATAGATTTATAAACTTGTAAATTAGATAAATATTCAAATTTTTATAAGCCTAGGTTTCTTTTTAATTGACTTATGCACGATTTATATTATTTTAGACGACATACAGTCTGTCATACGCCTTATATCACCTTGCAAGAAATACAAATGTACAAGAAAAACTGAGATTAGAGGCTGCGACTTTGTTAACGGATCCTATGTCTCCTATAACGGCAGAAATCCTAAGGAACGCTACATATACTAAAGCTGTACTAAAAGAAACTTTCAGGCTAAATCCTCTCTCTGTAGGAATAGGTCGTATCCTGCAAACTGATGTAGTTCTAAGCGGATATCATATTCCCAAAGAAGTAGTGTATTTTTGTTTATTAATAAATATTTATTTTTAAAAATAGTGACGTAAAAGACAAATCTTTAAGAGAAAATCTAACTTAATGAAACGTTTCAGACTGTAGTTGTGACACAAAATCAAGTGATTTGTCGACTTCCCGAGTATTTCGACGAACCAAATTCATTCAGACCAGAGAGATGGTTACGTGATAACGATGTAACCAAGCTAAAAGAAAAATTTATCAACCCATATACTGTATTGCCTTTCGGCCATGGTCCGCGATCGTGCATTGCAAGACGATTCGCTGAACAAAATTTACAAATTACTTTACTCCGGGTAAATGACTTAAGAATTATGTACTATTCTTTATAACATATTATAATGCACAATCATATAATGACTCAATAAATTCTTTCCAGATCTGCAGAAACCTGCGGTTTACATGGGGTGGGGACTCTCTTGGTTCGGTTTCATTACTAATCAATAAACCTGACGGACCTATTAAATTGAGATTTGAAAATCTACATGCATAGAAGAAATAAGTCATTGAGACTGTAACAACAGAGAACTCTTAGAAACTTTTTGTATTAGAAAACAACATTTATTATATTCTATTTGAGAATAAAATTGTTTCTTGATTCATTCAATAGATACAGCAATAAAAATAATTATAAGATTTATATGACGTGCTGATAATAACTTATCGAATGCGAAAATTAAACGTTTTGCGAATGAATTCTAATTGTAGGTCATGTATTTTGGTGTTGCAGAGAATTTGGCATATGATTTGATGACCTTGTTAACTGCCTCGAGGAAGTCCTTCTCTGTTGCAACCTTACGTCGTGCACGGATTGCAAACATACCAGCTTCGGTACAGACCGATCGTATTTCAGCGCCTGTACTGTTAGGGCACAAACGAGCGAGCAATTCGAACCTGATATCCCTCTCGACACTCATTGAACGCGCGTGAATCTTGAAAATATGCGTGCGTCCCTCAAGATCCGGCAAACCAAATTCTATCTTTCTGTCCAAGCGACCCGGTCGCATTAGTGCAGGATCCAACGTATCCGGCCTATTTGTCGCCATCAGAACTTTTATATTGCCTCGCGGATCAAATCTGAAAAAAAAATTGACATTAGATGATAGCTTTTTTAAGAATAAATGAGATAATTACCCATCTAATTGATTTATTAACTCCAGCATAGTACGTTGAACTTCATTATCGCCACCAGCACCATCATCAAAACGAGCACCACCAATGGCATCGATTTCATCGAAGAAGATCAAACATGCCTTTTTACTTCGTGCCATTTCAAATAGTTCTCTTACCATTCTAGCACCCTGCAAAAAAATTGTATACATTATTCGTATAGATTCTTGCTTACTTATAATTGCTGTAACAGCTTTTTTTACACATTATCTGACATACCTCACCAACATATTTCTGAACTAATTCTGAACCAATGACACGAATGAAACAGGCATCTGTTCTGTTAGCTACCGCTCTAGCACATAAAGTCTTTCCTGTGCCTGGAGGTCCAAATAACAAAACACCTTTTGGTGGTTCAATACCAAGATTGACAAATTTTTCTGGCTATAATTAATATTCGTTACATTACGATTTGTTATATTTTGTTAATAAATGTAACGTATGATTATATTATATAATAGTATGATTATAAACCAACATGTAATAGTGGCGTTTCGACGACTTCTCTCAATTTCTCTATTTGTTCTTTGCAGCCACCAACGTCACTATAGGTAACATCAGGTTTTTCTTCTACTTGCATCATTGTCACAGTAGGATCAATTTTGGATGGCAGAGGAATATGAATTTGATACTTGTTGCGATCTACTCCTACCCTCATACCTTCTTCTATATCTGTTGGTGCTACAGAATCTGCCAAGTCAACTACAAACTTTGCAAACTGCTTCACATTTATTATATACTTTGGATCGTCAGAATCTGCATTTATGATTTTGGTACAGCGTGCCACTTGTAGAGGTTGTTCATTTTGCAGAGTTTGTTTGTCAGCCGCTAAGTCCCAAAGTGCTGGTGGTGCCAGACCGGTATCAGATTCTTTGATCCCAGTTAATTCATTCACACGCTTAATAATTGTTTGAATGTCCTCTTCAACAGCCTTAATACTTTTTGTATATTGTCCTTGGCCCTATTTAAAACAAAAATTTATAAGGATTCTAAACAAATATTCATATAGCAAATGAGCATTCGTCTCTGTATGTCGATTTTAAATTTCCCTTTTAATATAACGATGATAAACTCACATAAGTCTTCAACAAAGCGATATCGCCTTCATCCAGTGCTGAAAATTCAGGAGACAGCCTTTATGAAATAGAAATTATGACAAGATTGACAATAAAGTCACGAAATGGAGCTCACATTTTATCTCCTTCTCTTCTTTCTCCTCCTCGTTCTTCACTTTCCGCATATCTTCTCCTAGATGATCCGGCATGTTCGTTTTTGTTAAATCGTACTGCTTGCTGACACTACACTTTTGACGTTCGTTATTAGCAAAGTTGACAATTCCGATTCCCAGGATTTCTTTGAGGTTACGTTCCTCCTGATTACAAGCAAAATCAGTAAAGATCCTCCGAAGCGACATCTGGGGTTCGATTGTGTATAAGAGATCGATTCTATATCTTGAAACGAGATGAAAATTACAAAAGTGAACACACTTACTAGAATACTGAATTTCATTGATTAACATCTAGTAAATTTGCTCACTTTTGTAATTTTTACCTTAGGATCGATTCTATTGTACAATATATTGTATCTTTAAACAAGATGAAAATTACAAAAGTGAACAAATTTACTAGATGTTGACCAATGAAATTATTAGTATTCTAGTAAATTCGCTTAGTATTCTAGTAATTCACTTACTTTTGTAATTTTCACCTCGTTTCAAGATACAGAATCGATTCCCTTGTTTGAAGATACAGAATCCCCGAAGTGAAAATTATTGTATAAAAGTGAACGAATTCACTAGAATATTCGTAATTTAATTGGTTAATACCTAGTTATCATTGCTCACTTTTGTAATTTTCATCTCATTTCAAAATACTCAATCCATCCCCTATTGCAAATAAATATGATCAAATTAGGGAATCGATTCTGAATCTTGAAATGAGGTAAAAATTATAAAAGTAAGAATACTGATTATTTCATTGGTCAACACCTAGTAAATTTGCTCGCTTTTGTAATTTTCACCTTGTTTGAAGATACAGAATCGAGCCCCTGTATCTTCAAACAAGGTGAAAATTACAAAAGCGAGTAAATTTACTAGGTGTTGACCAATGAAATGATCAGTATTTTAGTAAATTCGCTCATTTTTATAATTTTCATCTCATTTTAAAATACAGAATCGATCCTTAGGTCTGTTCGCGTTGCTTGCATTTTTTGCACTAATGCCTAGTCACCGACGAGAGGGTATTAGGGTAAAATCACACAGTGCGGAATAGGATTGCGGAATAGAGAATGCGTTATTGGAGTATTCCCCTGTTACAATCGAACGGCAGGGAAATGTTCGACTGTAGTTGGTTGGTTCTTACATTCTGATTCGGATTAAACTCTCAGTGAAAACTAGGCCATTGAAACAACCACTCGCTATTCCGCATTTGATATAGCGAGTGCGTCATTGTTCTTATAATAAACCGTCGTATTTTGAGAGATTAAAATAATTTGATGCTGATTGATATGATGGAATTGCGTAATATCGAGACAAATGAAGCAAAATGATAAAATCTGAGTGCATAAATATAGCTACCAAGATCAAAAAAACAATGACGTGCGATTTCATTGTGCCCTTTTTCGCACTTTTCCAGTTTTGTGTGCTATGTTCACACGATACGGAAAAATGACAGTAAATGCATTAAAACAGTTCAAAAAATTGTTATGAGATTGTAAATATTAATTGTAAAACATTAAATATTACATCAGTGATAATTGTTTTTACAATTTGAAAAATTATATTTCATTTTCATAAGCAAATTATTAATACATGAAGTTAGTAATTTTTAAATTATAATATGTTCATGCTGGATACATCTTTGACGCAACATAGCACACAAAACTTGCGTGATGGAAAAGTACGGAATAGCACTGATTGGTTGCTTCAATGACTTTGTATTCCGCAGTCCTATTCCGGACTATGTAGCCTATTCTACATTGATCGTATTGTAGACGTCGCAAGTGACAAGCTTGTTGCTTCAACCAATCCGATGCTTCAATTTTAAAGTCGCATGATGCTTACGATACGACCAATAGATCTTATGATTTTATCCTTAAAGGCTGCGTTCAGCGGATTCAACAGTTGAGCTCTCACTGTTATTGGTATATTCTTTTAAATCATCCAATCAATATTTTAGATGTAAAAAAATACATCAATTGCAGCGAGCGCTCACTCAACTGTTGAGTGCGCTGAACGCAGCCAATCATGGTTTGACGCTTATGGAAGTTTATGTGTCTATTATTAAAATTTAATAGAGTTTTTTATTGAGAAAACTAGTGCAGAATTAACGTCGTGCTAGGTTTAGATGAAAACTGCACTAGTACAATAATAGTACAATTTAGTGTGGTTCAATGGAACATATTATAAGACATCCATTTTATAACACCTCTAAAAATATATATATGTTCAAACTTAAATTACTTATTTCACAATATTCTGATTCATTTATTTATTTAAAGTATTTTTTAAAATTACATTTCAAAAATTTTAAACATCAAAATATCATTGCGTAACTATTATTAGAAACAATGGGCAAATTTAAGACGGCAAAGTGGCTAGGCATACTTGCCGAGCAAATAAGTATGATTGGTTCTTATTATGGATTCCACCAATCATGGGCGCGTTCAAGTTGACAAAGCGGCTAGATCTGCTCACTAAGCATTTAATGATTGGTTTGATCCACAAGTAAGAACCAATTATTATGCTCATTCACTCGGCAAGCATGCCTAGCAGCTTTGTTATCTTGAACTCGCCCAATATCATGTCTTATGCCTATTGCACACTGGACGCGATAAGTGATGAGCGACGAGCGATATCCAATAAGAGCTTTACTTTGTGTCATCACGTGAGAAAAAGCACAGCTTTTATTGGATATCGCTCATTGCGTCCAGTGTGAACTAGGCATAGCATGAACACTACCTCAATTTCAACTTGCACTGGTCTTCACTGACCTAATTTCCACCAAAAAAAATCAGTTCAATGTTTAATGTTCCACTGACAAAACTGGTGCAAAAAACTTGCACTGAGTTCAACTTTTGCTCCACTACCTTTGAAGTCAGTGGCCTAGTTTCCATCGAGGGTTTAATCCGGATCAGAATGTAAAAATCAATTAATTACAGTCGAACATTCCCCTGTCGTTCGACTGTGACAACACAATTACACTCAGTGCGTACTAGTGTTGCACTAGTTTTCCCTGTGGAAAACGCTATAAAATGATTAAAGCTTGCGGCACACAATGGGTGCATTCAGTACTACAACCGCTCACTGAGCTCTCAGTGAGCACTTGCATCTGATTGGCATAT